TTATTGTAAAAAAAAAAAAAAAAAAAAAAAAAAAATACAATTTATATTTCTTATATCTACTTTTAATTACAGTTTTTCTATATTTATATACATATTCATATGTATGTGAAGAAATAATATCTTCATTTAATTGTCATAAATTTACACTATTTTTTTTATTTGAAAATCTTATGTTTTTAATAATATTTATGGAAATTTTGCATAAGTATACATTTATATATTATTATGAATAAACAAAAAAACTTGAATTTTGCTAATTTCCTTATATAACTTTATTTTAAATATATATATATATATTAGTTTTTTTATTACATTTGTGTATTTTTAATTTTAATTTTTTTTTTTTTTTTTTTTTTTTGTTTCAGACATTTATAAGAAAGATAAAAAATAAATTGAATAATAAAACTAAAAATTTTAAGTATTATTTTATTTTCTTTTTCTCTTTAATAGTAGAAAATAAAAGAATGATAATCATGTGTAATTAATTTTATTACATTATTCAAAAATGTGGAAACATATATATATATATATATGTGTAAATAAATGAAGTAATTATATTCAATTTATAGAAATTATTTGTTTTCTTAATATCATCTCTATTTTTTTTTTTTTTTTTTTTTTTTTTTGAAACAAATTAAATTAAAAATTATAAGTGAAATAAAATATAATAACAAAAACAAAGTATTACATATCTTCTTGTTATATAAAGGAGGATATATCAAATAATTTTTAAGTTTGAAAGTAAAAATAATATAAGAATTAAACGAAAAGAAAAAAACATATTTATATATATATATATATATATATATATATATATATATATATATATATATACTAACATTAAATTAAAAAAAAATTTTCCTTTTTTAAAAATAAAAAAAGAGAAAGAAAAAAAAATGAGTACACATGAAAATTTAAAAAATGATAGAAATAAGTTAAGTGATAAAATTATTAGTGATGAAATTATTAGTGATAAAATTATTAGTGATGAAATTAAAAGTGATGAAATTAAAAGTGATGAAATTAAAAGTGATGAAATTATAAGTGATGAAATTAAAAGTGAAAAAGTAGAAAATAAAGTGATATATAGTAATGAAGAAAATAAACAAAGAGTAGAAGACAAAAATAATGATGAACAAGATGATATAAAGAAAAGTGATGAGAAAAATGAAATGAAAGGAGATAAAAGAAAAACAATAAAGCTTGATGATGATGTAAATATAAATAAGATCATAGAAAAAATATCAAAGGAAGAACCACAAATGTTAACAAAGATATTAAATTTGATGAAAAATGATAATTGCTTAAATTTTTATCCTTTACTTACTCCATATCACAATATTGAAAAAATAGTAGATATATTAATAGAAGAAAATTATGAGTATGAAAATACTTGGTGTGTACATTATGATGCATCATTCATCTGTCAATTATTTTATGAAGGTTTTATACCAGTAGCAAGTAAGCAAAAAGTTTGCAAAATAGAAAATTATGAAACAAAAATTTACAAAGAATGTCTTTTAATTCCAAAAATCCACTATATTAGATCATGCATGCATCCAAGTGAAATACATATTTCAAAAAAAGTAAAAAAAAAATGCAAAAATTTTTATATAACAATAGATAAGGATTTTAATGGAGTCATGGAGGGAATTGTAGAAAAACACGGACAAAATTGGTTATATCCCTTCGTTCAAAAAGAATTTAAAAGAATTTTTGAAAAAAGTGTAACTTATAAAAATGTTCAAATGCATTCTGTTGAAGTATGGTATGAAGATAAATTAGTGGCTGGTGAAATTGGGATAACAGTAGGATCTATTTATACAAGTTTAACAGGTTTTCAAAGAAAAAATTGTGCTGGTACTATTCAATTGTGTGCATTAGCTAAATTATTAGAATTTCAAAAATTTCAATTATGGGATCTTGGTATGTTGTTACCATATAAAAAGGAAATAGGATCGAAAGAAATTCCAATGAAAGAATTTTTTAGAAAACATAGAGTATTTAAATTTCAAAATGCTGAATTTAAAGTTCCATTTAAAGATAAATTAAACTGTAGTGTTCTTATTAAAGGGACTGATAACAACGATTTTGATTAAGCATATTAAAAGATAGGTGTGTAAAGAAATGAAAAATTGTAAGTTAATTTTTATAACACAAATTAAAAATATGAATAATGCTTAAAAATATTAATCATATTTTAAAAATATTAATAATTATTACAAAAAAGTAAAAGTAATTTGAAATCCTTATAATATTTACTTAAATTTTTAATTTTACGTTAGTATAAAAAAAAATAAAATCACATAAATTTTTATTAAAAAGGTTTAAAAATATCAAAAAAAATTTCCTATTTATAAAAAAAATTCTATATTTTAAAAAGTAAGATGATAAAGATTCTTTGCAATTTCAAATTATGTTATATATATATCATATAGGTAATTTGTGTTATAAAATGTTTTAATGTTTTAAAATTTCTTCTTTTTTTTTTTTTAAATTATAATATATTTGGCATAAATTCATTTAAAGAAAAAAGTATATATGCAAATATATTCATTTCTATTTATTTATTTATTATTTTTTTTTTTTTAATTTTTTATATTTATTAATTATGTATTTATTAATATAACAATTTTTTTTTTTCATTTTATTTATAATTTTTAATTTGGTAGACATAAAAAGAATCGTACATATATATATATATATATATTTATACATGTGAATGTTTTTATTAAATACATTGATTTTATTTAAACTATATTTATTTTTTTGTTATATTTGAATTTAATTTATTTTACATTTATATTAAAAAATATGCATAATAAAAATAATCATTCACAAATCACACAAACTATAAATAATTGTATTTTTTTTTTTTTTTTTTTTTTTTTTTTTTAAATATGAAATATAG